GACACTTTAAATGAGAGAATTTTATGGTATGTGAAATATATCTCAATAAAACTACAGAAGAAAAATAAATGTCACACATACAACATAAAGTAAAATCATAAAGTTTCCCAGGCCAGTGGCATACAGTAGGCAGGCTAAAAAGAGAGAAACTCTGAAAGTTATTTATGTATGTATTTATTTATTGAAGCAGGGTCTTGCTGTGTTGCCCAGGCTGGAGTGCAGTGGCATGATATCAGCTCACTGCAACCTCTGCCTCCTGGCTTCAAGTGATTCTCCTGCTTCAGCCTCCAAAGAAGCTGGGATTACAGGTGCGCCACCATACCCGCTATTTTGTATTTTTGGTAGAGACGGGGGTTTCACCATGTTGTCCAGGCTGGTCTCGAACTCCTGACCTCATGTGATCCTCCCAGTTTGGCCTCCCAAAGTGCTGAAATTACAGGCGTGAGCCACCACGCCTGGCTTGAAAGTCTTTTATTAAGCAAAAAGAACCACTACATGAGTAGTTTCTCAAAAAGACCAAAAGCCTTGTGACCAAGTGACATGACTTCCCTTCTGTCTGGCTAGGTCTCGTCTCTGATGCTAGGTCTCATTTCCCCCAAATAGCACCGGAGGCAAAAAATAGTGTGATGGTTATAGAGCTGGCTTTAAGTAACTCGCCCAAAGTCACACAGGTTATAGATCTGGATTGGAACCCAGGTAGCCAGACTGCCTGGGTTTGAATCCAGATCTGTAACCTGTGTGACTTTGGACAAGTTACTTAACCTCTCTGTGCTCTGTTATAAAATGGGGATACTTGACTGGGTTGTTTCGAAGAATAAATAACATAATCTTTGAAACATGCTTCAAAAAGCATCTGTTGCTTATTGGAATTTATTTGAAGTTGATTTTTTTTTTTAAAAAAAGCCTCCCATTAGGACGTACTTTTTTTTAGAAGGCCCCAATCATTTCATCCTCCCATTTGTCAAAGATCATTTCTATGTTGCATGCCACTTTTAATAAGACACTGGGTAGTAGTTGATCTAATGCTGATAAGCCAAGTCCTACTCCCCTTCTCTGACACTCCTTTTCTGCTATTGTGAGAACTATAAAACATGACCTGGAGAAGGTTGTTTTCAAAGGCTGAGGTCATTGCTGTCATTCCTTCATACTCTCACAGATTGACTCCAAACTGCAGAAGCATCTTGGTTTCCCATCATTCTGCAGACTGGGCCAGGAGATAGGAGCTTAGGAAGGCCTAATCAGAGAACAGATGCTCATTTCATGCTAACAATGTGCTAGCGCTGTACGTGAATAGCTTCATTTCATTTTCACGTAAACCCCGTCTTGTAGACTATTATTATCCTCTTTTTCACATGAGGAAATTAATGACCAGAAAAGTTAATTTGTCAAAGTCACACAGCCACTGAGAAATGGAGCCAGAATTCCAACCCAGCTGTCTTCAGATCCTGTTAACTGCCATGTTATATTGCCTGCCCCTCCCTAGAATGTAAAAGAGTTTACAGCTAAGGCCCTCTTTCACAGTAGCCCAAAGCAACAGAGTCAGAAATTGTGTCTTAGCTATCTGTGTGTCCTCGGTGCCTAGGACACCGCCTGCCATGTGATAGGAACTCAAGAGTGTTTGTCCAACTGCTTAACTGTGCACGGAACATGTCATGTAGAATTAAATGAATCCCCCAGTTGCAGAGTCTATTTTCTACTTATAAGACTATTTATTTGTTTATTTACTTACTTATTTATTCATCAAGATGGAGTCTCAACTCTGTCACCCAGGTTGGAGTGCAGTGGTGCGATCTCGGCTCACTGCAATCTCCGCTTCCCGGGTTTGAAGGATTCTCCTGCCTCAGCCTCTTGAGTAGCTGGGATTACAGGTGCCCTTCACCACGCCTGGCTAATTTTTGTATTTTTAGTAGAGATGGGGTTTCACCATGTTGGCAAGTCTGGTCTTGAACTCCTGACCTCAGGTGATCTGCCCACCTCAGCCTCCCAGAGTGCTGAGATTACAGGCAGGAGCCACCAAGCCAAGCCAATTTTCTACTTCTAACACAATTTAGAGGGGTTGTTGTCGAGTCACAGAGATCTTAGTTAGAATTTGGTAGCTATGTGATCTTGACAAACGTATTTAACTCATCTGAGTCTTGTGTCCCTAACTTGGAAAATGTGGTAAATATCTACTCATAGCATTATTATTTGGATGGAATGAAACAATGCTGCAATGATAAACATATAGTAGGTGGTCAATGAATATTAGCTGTTACTATTGCCTCCCTATCCTTTCTTCCAAACAGGTCTTTGTGACAGGTCAATCATGAGTTAGTTCCCAACTCAAAATAAGTGAGGCAGAAACTGGAACTTTTCAAAGTAGAGTAGTGGAACTAGCATTAAATTGGAAATTGGGAATCTTGTCTCCTGGCTTTTCTTGCCCTTTCTCTACCCAGCAACCATGTAATCTTGGTCAAGTCACCTTACTTGTCTGGGCTTCCAATTTCATATCTTAAGGTACAGAATTGATCTCTGAAGCCTCTAGGATTGTCTGAATCCATACGTCTGAAACCAAGAGATTATGTCGAGGAATTATTACCCTTGGCTTGATTGTTTTTTAAACAAATTAACGTGGGGGTGGTTGGAAAATACATTTTTGCTCATCTTAGAGTTACACGTTGTTCATTTATTTGAAACTGAAACGTACCTCCTCCAAACACCTTAGAAACTTGGTTAAAGGCTGCAAAAGACTCAAACCCACCACCTAGCGGCGAAGACAGGAAGTTTCAGGTGATACAACATGTCCTGCCATCACACCTGAAAGATGGTTGTCCATAGCCATTTTTTAAAATCTCGTATTAGTTCTCTTCCCTCAACACTCAGAACAGTATTATGTACCCAGAAACTCAATACTTCTGGCGTCTTCATTTGACAGTACTCTTAAGCCAACGAAATACTGTGGACGTTTGAGAATTTTAGAAAGCTCAATGTTTTAAGATTGGCGGGGTGGGGTGGGAGTAGGGGGAGGGGAAGGTGCCTTCCTACCCTCGAATTTGCATCTCAAGCCACCCGTACCCGAGGCCCACCCAGTCCATCTGTTTATTGGTAGATACGCCATTCCGCCAGTGGCTGGTGCGGAGAACCACCTTTGAAAACACCTAAATCAATACACCAATGGGATCCCTGATGTCAAGTATTTAACGACTTTGCTTTACCTACTACAGTAATTAAAATTAAGTCTTCAAACTTAAATTTAAATTTCTAAAAGCAGTAATGCACTGTCTTTAATCTTAAACACCAAAGGTGGTAGAAAGAGGCCAAAATCCTAGGGTACTAGGCCTACTGGTATAGGGCGATCTCTTCTGCTTTTCTCTTTCCACCCCATTTCTTTGCCCTTTCTCCTTTCGTTCCCCATCTTCCCTCTCTCTTCAAAGTAACAGTCACAAAATTAAGACCAGCATTATGTTTAAATGAAACAGGTAGTGCTCTGTGTAGCCTGATTCAATTATTTCAAGAGGGTTGCTCATCGAAAATATTTGTCTTCAAGCCCTTTCCTGAAATCTCAAATTAAAGCAATTCCAATTCTCTGCTTTAAGTATTCCTAGTTAAGTCTATTTTTGGAAATATTAAATATTCTCATTTTAGCACAATGTTCCGAAATTCCCTGAACAGTTCGCCTATGATCAGTCTTGCTAGTAGAAACTTTTTTTTTTTTAAATTTAAAACGCTTGATTTCCACTTTTTACTAGGTTTCCCAATGTTAGCGAAGTCTCCCAATGACTTAATAACGTGTTTCCATTTCACCTTTGAAAATCTTAAGAGTTCAGTGCATCCACGGGCATCCGGGCATTTATTCTTATTTCTGCTTCTTAAACAGGCTCTGGGGAGGAGCAGTTTCGACCAAGAAGTTCATAGCAGCAGTTATTACGGAACTTGCAACAGTTGGTGCCGGGCGATAGGCAGGTTGGAAGTGATAAATGGGGCTGGTGTAAAAAACAAAAAGCCCAGGGGAGGGCGGGGGCAGCCGTGGCCTTGGGGGACAGTGCGAGGGCGGCG